TATATATATATATATATATATATATATATATATATATTCTAAAGTTTATTTTATACATTAAAGCATGTAGGGAAAATGCACAAGTACCCCCCAACATATGCTCGAAATATCAGAGACACATTTATACTATACTAAGTTCTATTACCCCTTGACCTTATTTTATAAATAATTTTCTACTCTTTTCGGCTTATGTGACACTATCTTTTGGGTCCACCACATGTTGACATTTTTTTCAAGCTAGTGCCACGTAGGTCGAAAAGGGGTATAAAATTATTTATAAAATAAGTTCAGGAGTAATAAGTTCTTAGTATAGTATAAGTGTGTCTCTGAAATTTCGGGGCATAAGTTAAGGGGGTACTTATGCACTATCCAAAGAATTTACTTTGATGTAATTATTTCTAAATATTACTTATACGATTTCATGATTTTTTTATCTTTTAACATATTTTTTCAAGTTTTTTCGGACTTGAAACTTTGATCCAGCAAAAGTTAAAGTCCATAAATATTAGTAACTCTAACAAAGGTCAATTTAAAATCAAATCAATACTAATACTAAGAAAATAATATATTCAACACTAAGAATACAATAATGTTTAATATTTGTTCTTTAGTTTTACATTGGTTTAGACATTCAAAATATATAACACTTTTTAATTTTCTTTAATATTTAATAATATAATTAATTAATACTTATCAGACTTATTTTAGTGTGATTTAATACTTCTAAATTATGATTATTTTTATTATAAGTTATCAATTTGCAATATTTATTTTATACAACTTTATATAATTTTTTATTAAATATTTAGTGTAATCACCCATCTCATATTTTATGTTATTTTCTTAAAAAATACCTTAAATAGTTACATTTTGATTGGTTCAAAATAATATGTAGAGTACTTTTTTATTGATTTTTTATATCTATCATTACCACTAAGAAACAATTACAATTGGACAAGTAGGACTAGACCTTGCCTTCTTGAAGGTTACAGTAACAATGGGCAAAAAAAAAAAGTTGCACAAATTAAAGGTGGGAACTAGCAAAAAGACTTCTCAAGAGGGTTCATTATATATTCGTCAGAATATTTTATCGGAAAAATTTAAATAGTTTGATTTGATTTAACTATAAAAATTTGATACAAATGGTGTTTTTGATATTTGAAAAATCCAAATCAATCCAATAAAATTTGAATTGAAAAATTCTAATGTTATTAGTTTGATTTGGTTTATAGATTTAAGAATTTAACACAAATAATTTAATTTGATATTTAAAAAATACGAACCAATTTAATCATATACACACCATGCACATCTATGATAATACATAAATGAAATATTAAGAAAGAAACAAATTAAACAATATGGAAGAATAAGAAGGCACCATATTTTGAGACCTTAATTTAAGCTCTCCTATTTATTTTTTCGACCTGCACCAAAAATATTTTTCCTCAACAAACACCTTTAAATATTTAAACTTAAGTTCACTTACTATCACATTATATTTCTACTATTAAGGTAAAATGATATATATGTTAGTTAAGTGGTAAAAATTTATATAGAAGACAAGTGTAATATTATAAGTAATGAACAACTTTCACATATAATAAACACAAAAATCATATTTGTATGTTATAGCTATAGTTTGTAAATTGCACTTCATAGCAAATTTTGCGAGGTTATTATCGCTATACATATGTACAGGAGACAATGTTTATTTCGCTATACATATATACAAAAGAAACAATTGTATAATTCGTTGGCTCCTCTTCAGATTTGTATAATTTCACTGCCAGACTATTTGTACAAATTGATGCCAGTCTCTCGCGTTTGTATAAATCGTTGGCATCCTCTCAATTTAATTTTATGTGTTTGTATATCTTTATTAAATTTGAATTTATATACAATTGAATCGAAATAAAAAAATTTGTTATATCAAATATTGTTCTCTCTCTCGCTTTATACAAACATAAATTATACATTGTATTTTGTATAATTTGTATTTGTATAAAGCGACAAAGAGAGAAAGGCAAGAGAAAATTGGTTAGGGAAATTATTTGTATTGTATAATTATAAGTGTATAGGACGAACATATATATATATTTGCATGTATATATATAATTTTCTCTCGCTTTATATAAACAGAAACACAATTTATACATTTCTATTTGTATAACACGAGAGAGGCGAGAGGGAGAGTGGCGATCCAGAGAGGGAGAGTGACGATCAAGAATTTAAGGGAGGGAGGCGACTGATAACATATTTGCTACGGAGCATAGTTAAATTAAACTATAATTATGATATTAATTTAAATTAATAATTTATCATTATATACTATTTTTCCTATTATAGTTGATTTTCTTCTTGGGTCATTTACACATGGATTGAAGTATATTTTTGTTGCATCTTTTAGGAAATGAGAGAGCAGGCCCAATAGAGTGGGCCTCAAGTAGATGTGAATTACACGTGCTAGACTCTCAAACAAATTTGATCCATTTCTCGACTTGTGTGTGTCATTCTTTAAACAAGGTTCATGCTCTTCTTCTCGATTTGTGCGCATATTTTTGCTAGGAAAATTACTTAG